ACTATTTTTTGTTTTTACTCTTTTATTGTTTTTTAGTTTGTATTAGCTTTTATCTTTTAAATTGTAATGTTTAATCAACTTCTTATTAAAAAAATAAATACAGTATTTAAGAATTATGATAAAGAAGCCAATGGTTCAAGTTAGACTGGATGCAGTGGCTTCTTGACATTTCCAAGTACAACTCTTAAGCAGACATTTCTGTCTAAATACACAAATGCAGAAAAGAGTGAGAGTGCCAAATGCTTTTTATGAGACTCCACCTGTATTTACATTTACCTTACCATATATACTCACAGATAAACTGAGAATTTTAGATACCAAAATACATCCCAAAAATTGGGTTTGGCTCATCCATGGATGGGCTTATCTGTGAATATATATGGTAGGTTTTTCCCTCAGCTTTTTAAAAGTATCCATATATCCCATATATACTCATGGATAAGCCACTTGTGAAAATTAAAGCATACAAAAATTTCAAGGGTCAGCTTATCTGCAGGTGGGCTTATACATAAGTACAGACAGCATAAGCAACCGTACTAAGAAATTTGAAGATGAAGAAATCTAATATAAAATGGTTAAAGTAGCCAGTAGAAGAAAGTACATAAGATTAAAATAAATAATTATTATTATTACCAACCATGTCACATAATGCTTTTTAGTAAGATAAAGAAGATGTAGACTAGATTACTAGCCCTAGTCATAACCATGTCACATACTGCATTTCCAGCTAATAGTATGGACAATACTGGTCAGTTTGGGCACATTTTGGCCAGTGTACTATAAAAGCAACCAAAGCCTAGTTTTACCCTAAGCACATTCACACAATTCTGTACAAGCTAGGATCTCTAATCTGGAAACTACTAGCAAGCCATCAACTAGGAGGTTTATGCAGTGCACTGAGATACACTCAGGATACAAAGCAGATGTGAAAAGAAAGAATGAAAGAGTCAAGAAGAAAGGGAAGACTGAAAAAACCATGGTTGGATGGAGTAGATGAATTCCTGAAAAAGAGAGAGGTGGATATTTAATGGAGAAAAGGCGATACTGTATATGAAGCAGTGGATGGATGTGGTGAAGAGCTTGTAAGGCAAGAAAAATATGGAGAGATATGAATGTAAACTACAGCGATATAAACTTCCTTTTCTTTTGTTTATCAAATGGCTTTTCCTTTCTCCTTTTCTGCATTCTCCATAATGTGGGTTACCCCAAATGGAATCGTGTGATGGTTATATATGAATGTATGTAGGTACCAGCCACATTAAATGCTATTTGTTTTATATATTTGTGTGTGTGTGTGCGCGCACGCATGTCTGTGCAGTATTTCCACATACCATAAACTTTCATTTCTACTTTTCCTTAACCTATTCAGAGTCAAAAATTCTAGCCAATGCAGTGTAAATCTATGTTCTGTCTGTACTGATTTAGACCACATAGCAGGTCTAGCTATTTTCTGAATGGAGGACACTTGTAGTGTCCTCCATTCAGAAAATAGGTCCAGAAAATAGATATTCTGCAATTGGTCCAGAATACAACAATGTAAGTAGTTATGCGTGCATCCTAGACTAATTGCAGCTTGTAGCATCCTCCATTCAGAAGATAGCTAGAACTACTATGTGTAATATTATTTTGTGAGCTGAACAGGCTCCCTATAGACTTTAGATTGCAATTTGAGGGGCTGATTATCACCTATAAAGACTTCCATGGTGCAGGGTGGCTTATTCATAGGATCACCTATCTCCAATTAGCTCATCTCATCTCACGAGTTCCAAGAGAGTAGCGTGCTTCAGGTCCCTTCTCTGAAACAGTGTCACCTGCCTTCTTTGTTACAATGCCTGCTCTATTGAACAGCATTCCCCCTGAGTTTGGATAGCTCCAACCCTGCTGGCCTTTCATAAAGCCATGAAAACTTGGTTTATCCCCTGGGCATTGGGCCAGAGCATAGAATGAGCCCATCCAGAATTGAAAGGACTTGAATAGAATAGCTGTGGTTGGCCTCACAAATTCTGTTTTGGATGTTTGTTGTGGTTTGGTTTCTGGTTCTTTTGCTTATTATGCTTCTAGCCATTTATAAGTTGCTCAGAATAACTTGTGAGTTGGTCAGCTCTACAAATCAAATAAAGAGACACATCCATAAGTTGGGCTTTTCTGCACAACTTGCCAACTGCAGAGGGGAGATGCCTCAGCAATAGTATTTGGAGGACATAAACGATCACTGTACCTACTACCCATCCCTGACCCACCATCAGAGAGCCAGTATTTGTAACTGTTCCAGTTTGCTGCCAGATGTACAGCAGATCCTAGGGTTGCCAGGACTTGGCTGGATGGCCAGATAATTGGGGTAGTAGAGTAGCTCTCCAGGCTAAAGATCCACCACCTCCAGGATGCTGCTGTGCTTGCGGTGCCCACAGCCCTGGCACAGCAGCATCTGATCAGTGGAGCTGGATGGCTGCTGTTTTTGACACGTGTCCAGCAGTCTGGAAGGACAGGTTTACTGCATGGGAGTGGCAGTTGAAGAGTTGCTTACCCCCACTTGGAGTTTAAGTGGCTCCAGCCATCACTTCCATGCGATAACACTGAGGTGGGAAGGGGAGGCAGATCTTGGTACATGGAAAACTGTCACAAAAAAGATTGGCATTCTCCCTTCTCTCCCCTTTGTTTCCCTTCCCGTGGATGGCAGAAGAAGCCGGGAGGAGACAAGCGGCAATGAATGGCTCTTTTGGTGACACCAAAAGAGGCCTTTCTCACCCTGCTTCTCTCCTCCCCTTGGTTCTCACACGGGCATCACCATATTTCATCTTTTTGCTGAGACAGAATCAGGGTTGGATGTGCTGTCAGCATGTTTTTCTATTGGCATACCCTGTGCTGGCCTCTGCCCTTGCAAATAGCGCTTCAACATTGCCGTCCAAAAAAGTCTTAGACAGTGGTTTAGTTGATAGTGAATGGCAGCACTAGTGACCCATGGAGGAACAAGTAAATGTAGGTCTGTTCTTTCTAGCTGAGAACCATGGTAACATTTGACCAGCGGTAGTCATGTCTTCATTTAGTGGCCTAGTTAACAGACCCTTGCCCTTTTATAAAATAGGAATTATATTGGTATAATATACATAGCTGCTGTAAAAGTGTAATTATCTGCTTCTGGACTAAGTAAATAGCCATTCTAATAAAGTTAAATGGCCAGATGGTACCTTTGTTCTTGTGCTTTATTAAGGCCTTGAAAACAGAACTACTCAGAAGGCCATTTGAGGATGGACATCTGTTTATTGTTTGCCTATTTAATTATATATTAATTGCATCTCTTTTAGTTTGAATTAATTGTTTGCTATAGAATTTAGATGGTTTCATAGCTTTGGCTTTTTTATTGATCATTGTAAATTATGCTTGTGAGAACAATTGCACATCACCATGAATCCTTGTGAGAATCAGCAATATAGAAAAAGAGAATAATTAATATAAAAATGGATATTTTACTACTATGTCTGCAACATCCACTACGTCTGTAACATTCCTAATGAATATTTTTAAGTATGGCAAAGCGATTAAATTATCAAAATATGAAGGAAGAAAATGGATTTGTAGACATTTTCCATCTTTCTAGAAAGAACTAGATAGCATGGTTAGATTCCAACTTATCCTTTGTTAAATTTTCTTTATCCTTTTTTTCTTGTCAATTGGTAGATAACAATAAACTGTCAACATCTATATTTCCTGTTCTATTATAAGATGGTTTTTATCCTATAATTTTATTTTAAAGGTTATCAAGTAATGCCTTCTTTAATAGAAAAACAGCATATTTCTCTATTTAGAATACAAATACACTAAATAGTTGTTGCCTGTAAACACAGTTGATGAAATCAAGGTCAAAGTGTATTCTGACAAGTGGTGTCATGTTATATATTGAAAGATCTATGACCTTGCTAATTTGGAACTACCATATCTAAAAATGGCTGCAGAGCAGGCTGATAAGACTTGCAGATAACCTTTATGCTCAGAAGTCAAGAAGCAAGAGACATGTGATGTGTATTTAATCGCTGACTATATTCAGAAGCATGCTAGTCATCCTTTGCCTTGATAGGTTGACATCTTGCCATTATCTTTAGGGTGTTAGCTCCAGCTCATTTCATTGGCTAACCAGTAGCTAGATAAGAAATACTCAAGATTCTCTTCAACAGATCAGTGGCAGCTAAATTTAGAGCAGCAATAGTCAGATAAGAAAGGGATTTAAGTGAATTTCACTGACTTTGATATATCTGATTCTACAAAACACATAGAAAATAAGTAAGAAATACAGCTTAGGAAATGCATTTGTCTTTAACAAAGATATCTACAGTATATCTGTCCCCCTGAGTGTGCATCATAAATTGGGTATAAAGTATTGCATTAACAAGAACATTATGACATCTTATAGCTATTGCTGATGCAGGAGACTGATTTTTACTACACCAAAGAGCTGCTTGTATACAGGGCAGAACTGGCATTTGAGATAAATCAGTTTCTTAAATTTTCTTTCCGTATTTGTGGAAATTCACTCAGTGTAAGGTCTTATGCAATCTTAATTTATTCCTTTAACCAATTTTATACAATGAAAATGAGCTAATGTGCAACTTTGTTAATTGGAATTCAATTTGATGCATAACAGAGCTAATTTTGATTTGTAAGTGTAATTCACATAATTTATTCCTAGTATTACTCATAAAAATATTTTTGGCAGACAAGTATGATCTTCCCAATATTGCAGATAAACTGATGATCCATAATGCCTCATTTAAGGTGACTTCATAAGTTCATGGCTGAGGTGGTGCTTGAGTCAAGGATTTCCTTCCTTATATAACTCTTTCTCGCCATATTAAGTTTAGGGCAAATGCACAGCCTATTAAACATCAGTCACTAAAAGTAGCATCAGCTCACTGCTCAGCTAGTAGAACGTTACCATTATAGCTGTTCTCTGGCTCTCTTCCTACCCTCCCAGCCTGCATCCGGATGATAGTGGTTTTTTCTCCTACCTGTGATGAGAGCTTCAGCTGTCGCCATGTGCATCAGCGTATTGTTGCTTACTGGCCATTTGTCCGAGGACAAGACCAGGTTCCCAAGTCCTCCAATTTCTTTCAGTTCCTCTTGGATCTTTGCCCCTAAGGCATTGTTTTCCCGAGTAAAATTTCGATAGCCCAAAGCATCTCCTACCCCTGCTAGTAACAAAGCAGCCTTAAATTTCTCCATCGTCAAATGACTTGGATGCTCTTTCAGTTCTCTTTGGTCTCAGACAGGCCCTTGATGCTTCTTTGTTCCTTTGCCTTCCAGCTTAGATTAAGCAACACTTTATATCGGAGCCATTGTGTCATTGCAAAGAACTCTCCGTATAAGGGAAGCCCTGCCTTTCCTGGCTTCCAGATGCCACTGCTGCTCTGATATCCAACAGACACGATAAAACTGTAAGTCCAAATATTTTCTAACTTATTTTTAAGCTACAAGCTCAGAAGGTGTGCAGAGCACAAATACGTATAGTTGCAAAATTCAGAAGCCCTCCTACCACCAAGGACAAAGCAAACGAAGAAATATTTGGACTCTCCGGTTTATGTAACTCTATCCCTTGAAAAACACATGCTGAATTAGGAGACTTATTTTTATAGCTGTTCAAATGAGTATGTTTCTCCGATTTTGGAATCACTGCCTTATTCTGTTTCCTTAAAGAACAAAGATGATTGATTTGATAGACATTACGTTCAGAAGATCAAAAAAATTATTGACAAAGTAGTTCAAATAGTAAAACAAATCTTTTCTCCAATCCCTACATTTAATTGAAGCAGCCATGGATCTGTCTGCATTGCAACACCTTCAAAAGTTGTCTGGTTGCAAATCTATACTGTGACATACATAAACAATTGGGACAGATTTTCCTGCTCAGCATTGTGCAAATAGTTTGTGCACATACACAGATGAATTATTCTGGACCTCTCAGAGATTTCACTGACGTTTCTGATTCCCATCATCTTGTCTTTATTCCTTGTGAAAACCTGACAGGATGTTTGTGTGAATGATTAAAATAGCTAGGTATGTTTTATATTATCTCACAATGGAAAGATAGTAATTGTAATTATTAATTTAAAATAGATAGATTTAAATTGTAAACTGACACAGCTTTGTAGACCTGTGAGGAGGACATTTACAAAGCAAGTTACAAAATAACAAAAATTATCATGAGTGGTAAAGAAGGTATTATGAATAGTTTTAGCATTATTGAATTATTTCCTATTATAATAATGCAAACATTATTTTAGAAACAGAGTTATTTTATTATTAACAATGTCTGGAAAAATACAGCTTAAAAATATGAGTTTACTATTATTTCAGAAGAACATGTTGTTTCAATTTCTTCCAGTGATAATCATTGGAAGAAAAGATAAAGCATTTTAATTGTTGCAAAGTAGTGGTAATCTTTATTCCAAGTCATAACTCTTTTGCAGAGAATTTAATAGGGTTGGGCAGAGCATTCCAAAGAGGCAGTGTGATTTTTACAATAAGTTGTGCCTAAGAAAGTGAAGTGGCTGCGCACCGTATACATGTAGAGACAGCTATGTAAGCCTTGAAAAAGATGTGGCTGTTTTAACAACCTCTCATAGATTTTGAAACGCCTCCTTCAGATTTGGTATTTAGTACTCAAAAGAAAAATTGTACTGGTGCTTATAAGTAGTCCTCAACTTATGACCACAATAGGGACCAGAAAATTCATTAAGCGGTATGGTCGTTAAGCGAGGCATCATGTGACTGCACCCAAATTTTTGTGGCGGTCATTAAGCAAATCACATGGATCCCCATTGACTTTTCTTGTCAGAAGCCAGCTGGGAAGATCACAAATGGCGATCACGTGACCCCGGGACGCTGCAACCATTGTAAATACACGCCAGTTGCCAAGTGCCCAAATTATGAACACATGATCACAGGGACACTGCAACAGTAAGTGCAAGGACTGGTCATCACTTTTTTCAGTACTGTCATAACTTCGGTCACTAAACAAATGGTTGTAAGTCGAGGACTACCTGTATTACAGTCAACCCCATCATCAGGTAGTTATTTCCATTGCTGTTACAATCCCTGCATTATGAAGTTACATAGCTATTGTGCAACTACTGGATAAATCCCATTGGCACTACAGAACCATGCTGGATTTGCCCTGAAGAGCTAAGCAAATTCCAAATGACTTGTTATGTTGGACTATAGTTTTTGTCTTTCAACCTGTATCGAACTGAAATTTTGACGTTTCATGGGATTGTTGTGAAGAACAGGTAAGTTAAGACAATGTATTACATTTCATACTACTGATGTTGTAGATACCATCTTCCAATTCTGATTAACTTTGATTTAAACACATGAACTGATTGAAGAGTATAAATAAAATCTTATAAAGTATAAATTAACATACTCTGTTGGTAATAAGTGAACACAAGCACTTTGCTTCAGATAATCACAGTTCCAACAAACCGCATATTTATGTTGCGACAAGGCAAACAATTGAATTCACATCAGTTCTGTAAGCTGTATCTGGGGACCATCAGCAGCCACCTTTGCTCAATCTCAGTTTTTCATTTCTTACAAGCATAGAAACCTCTCAATGTATCAATGGTAAGTGAAAATATTTAGTTTATCTTCATTTTAAGCAGTTACATTTTAGAATATTGCTCATTGTACAAAAGTGTACAAGTATACATTTCTTGAAACCATGTGAACAGTTTGATATTGTAGTAATAGCAATTTGCAAGACAAAATTGATTAGCTCTAATAAAAGTTGGTATTGTCTGGAATATATGGTTGTTTCCTTAACTCCTGAATTAAAAGAATAATCTGTAAACGTGATTATTAGAAAACATTAAAACAACTAAATTTTAAGTATGTTTAATATCACTCATGTTTAATGAATTTCAAAGCCAAACCTTTGCAATGCTTTCTTTTTCTTGAACTCATCTAAAGAAATTCAGTGAGGCATACTATTGCATTTGAGGATGCAACAAAGCAGTTCAACATTCTTCAGTATTACTAGACTTTTCTGAGGGCAAGAAAATGAAAAACAAGAACTGAGTTACTGGCATCTAGTGGTGGAATGAGAGAACACCCATTTCTCACCATTTCTGTAGCTAATTTTCCCAACCCTTGATGTAAAAATTAAAGTGGCCACTTTTGAGTTGCAGTTTATTCTGTACCATGCTGAAGTTCCTTAATTCATGCGGAATTCCACCACTTTGAATTTAGCATACATATTCTCTGTGTCTGTTTTCAGAATGACCAGTTACACAATGAAGAGCAGAGTTATTAAAGTTTTAACAATCATGTGGAAGACAGAATTTAAGAAAGCATGCAGGATCAAAAATATGCCTGTTTTAATCACCTATGCTATACAGGAGGCACAACAGCCATTTTTTATGTCTGCCATTCCTTTTATTGTTTTGTTTAAAGCCAGACAAAAAGAAAGCAATAGTATTGCCACTGATGCAACTCATTTTGGGTCAGGATCCAACCATGACTCAATAGCCACTGGCAGGAAGCACACTATTCCTTCCTGACTAGTCCTTTAGAAGTCACTCACCATCCTGAGAATGCTTTAACATAAAGCATGAACGAGATACTGTTTTGCACACTTATTTCTACTGAGTACTATTAAGCAGCTTTGAATTCAGTTGGAAAATTAAGCGGACAGTGATAGCAGCAGCATTTAACTTGAGCTAAAACATGCCTGCAATTCACTTGGTCTATTTAAAATATCAAGGCTTCTTTATTACTAAATACATGCCAGAATTACCGACACTTAAAGCCATTTTGCTACAGTCACCCTTTAATGGAGCTGCCTAGTGAATTTTGGATATAACAATATTATAATCCAGCCAGCATCCCAAAATAACCACCTTGTCTGTTGTTTGGGGAAGCTGTCTGAACAGTAGTGCATGTTTCCCCTAAGAAAGTGGGTATGCTTCTGCACAAGCTTCAGGTCTGAGTAAGAGACATCCCTGAGTCCCTCTTACATCCCTTTTACTCACTGAGTAAGAGAAGAAGGGAAGGAAGGAAAGTGCTGAGAAGACTGGATAGGCAGCATGCTGGGGAACCTTGAGTAGCTGAGTTGTGGCAGGCTGGGAAGCTGCTAGGAAGATGGACCGAGCGGGCAGTGGCTGAGGGACAGAAGGTGCCGGGAAGCTGACTCTGTGGGCTATTATGATAAGCACTGGGGCAGCAGAGGGCAGAGCAGGGCACTCTGGCTTGTAGCCCCAAACAACGCTTCCTTGCTGAGAGCAGTTAGAGAAGCAGGACTTCCTGACAGTCCCTAAAATTGGCAACAAGAATGATCATCAAAAGCAACTTCTTTGAAAAAGTGTTTTTCCACTGTAATTGACCTCTAAGAAGGGAAGAAAAAAAGAGAGAGAAGCATCTGAGTGTAATGGAAATTGCTTTCCACAAAAAATCCATTAAATTGAGTGTATGAGGAGTACAAACTTCATTCGGTGTTGGAATGAGAAAAACAAGTTTTCTTTAAAAATGGAGGCTGTAATGAAAACACAGAATCCTGGCATCAAGAAAATAAATCAATAAACGCTGAATTGTATTTTCTCAACATCTTTTAGATACGTAGAAAAATACTATGTACCACGCATTTTATTTAGGGATTTAATTTATATATCACAAATACTGCTTTTAATATAAGTACAATATAATACAGTTGTATTTATGTAACTGCTGGTGTTCACCCTGTATTATGAACTGAATGGCATGCTGTGCTGTCAAAATTTTACTAAAATGGCCTCTAGTTAAACTTTTCCAAAGTATAAAATCATGCAAAATCTACATCCTATATAATACAACCAGTACAGTAATTGAAGCCAGTATCCTACAGATAGCCTGGGCTATCTTCTGAATTTCTTCTTGCAGTGTCCATGAGTCAGCCATCATTTTCTTGTAGCAGAAGTAGTGATTTCTGTTTTGTCAGTGGCATCCCACCTCAGCTTTTGAAATCGGTGACAATGTGCACAGTTATTGGCCAAAAAGTCTTCATTACCCGATGCAGTTCAGACTGCAAAATTAGTCCACTGAGAAGTCATGGTTAGGAAGCTTTACGTTTTCCTCCTGTAACTACCGGTCGTGCATATTCCACAAAATCATCTATTAGGACTGGCCACGCTCCTATAGAGGAATAAAACAGTTCTGAATAAAATCTCTGAGTATTTAAAGCAATCTGATATTTAGATACAGTAATCTGTTCAGGGAGAATGCAATCATCCTGAAGGAGGGGGTGATATGCCTCCTCCTAAAGGGGCCATACTGGTCAACTTCTGCCCCATCTCTATTCTTTCCTAAGCAGGCAGTTCCAGTCAAGAGCAACAGGGGAAGAGAATGCCTCAGGGCTTAGTCCTCTTACCCACATTATTTAACATCTACATGAAGGTGCTAGGCGGGGTCATCCATTAGTTGTGGACCAGGTCCATCAGAATGCTAAGGAACCCAAGTATACATCTCTCAGCTGGGTTACACAGGAGATGCAGTGGATATCCTCACCTGGTATTTGGAGGCTACCAGGGTCTGGATAGGTCAAAATAGGCTTAAGCTGAATTCCAGTAAGGTGGAGTGACTATTCAGAAACCATCTACCTCTTTAGAAGCTCCAGCTTCGGTTCTGGATCAGGTTTCACTGCCCCTAAAAGAGCAGGCCTGTGATCTAAGGGTTCTCTTAGACTTGCAGCTTCTGCTAGAATAGCAGCTAAAGACTGTGGCAGGAAGACCTTCATGTAGCTTAGCTTGGTGCACCAGATATGGCCTTTCTTGGACTCTGGGTACAGTCACTCATGTCCTCATCACCTCAGGGTTAGATTATAGCAACACATATTAATTGGGGCTGCCTCTGAAGGCTATCGGTACAGAATGCAGCAGCCTGTATAGCAACAGGCAAAAGGAGCTTCAACACAATACCTCTTCTTTGGCCTCTGCATTGGTTACATATAGAGATCTGCTTACAATTCAAGGTGCTGGTTATTGTGCATAAAGCCCTGCATGGCTTGGGTATTGGCTACTTTTGGGATCACATGCTCCAAGTAGAATCTTACATGTTCAAGTTGTGAACTGTATATCCCCTATGAAGCTGAAGGAAGGTGACTATGAAACTTGCCTTTTTCGTGGTTATCTCAGTCTTACAGAATACCTTGCCCCCCCTTTTAAAAATCACCTCCCTCCAGTTAACATTTAAAGAGGGAAGTGAAAACAATCCTCTTTCACTAGGCTTCTGGATTTTAATTTCTGGGGATGTTGTAGCCTTGTGTTACCAGTTAGATTTATTCCTGTTACTTTAATTCTTTTAATGATGTTACATTTCTGTGTTTTTATGATGTTTTACATATGTGAGTAACCTAGAGTCTTATGATTGGGATGGCACAGAAATTATGCCGTTGGACAACTTTGGTGCATTCTCCAACCTTCCCTGGGGAACAGGATAGTATGCTGTGTCCATCCTGTCTCTCCTTGGTCTCTCAGTGGCTTTTGATACTATCAAGCATGGTATCTTTCCAGATCAGCTCCAGAGGCTGGAGTGGGGGGTCAGTCCTGTGGTGGTTTTTTGCCTTCCTCTGGGGCTGGTACCAGTTGATGTTGACAAGGGGGAAGAGATCTAGCCTGCAGCCCCTTTTGTGTGGGGTGCCTCTGGCCTTGATGCTCTCCCCGCTCCTGTTTAACATCTACATGAAGCCATTGGATAAGGTCATGCAATGGTAGGGTGGGAGGGATCATCAGTACACTGATAATACCCAGCTCTACATCTCTGCCCCAAGCCAACCAAATGAAGCTGTGGAGGCTATGGGGGGTCTGGATGGGGAAGAACAGACTAGCTCAATGCTAGCAAGACTGTGACTCTGGATTTTAGGGATCGTGAATCCAGTGATTTTCCATTTTTAGTTCTGGATGGGGTTGCAGTACTCCAAACAGAGCCAGTGTGTCATCTGGGGGTCCTCCTGGACTTGCAGATTCTGTCGGAGGAACAGATGGGTGAAGTGGCCAGGAGGGCCTTTGCACAACTTCATCTTGCCCATTGTGCCCTTTCCTGGAACAGGAGGCATTGCTTATAGTCATTCATGCCTTCCTTGGTAACCTCCCGAGTGGATTATTGCAATGAGCTCCATATGGGGCTGTCCTTGAATAATATCTGGATTCAGAATGTGGCTGCACAGACAGTTATGAGTACGTAGGGCTGCGCTCATGTCACATCTCTGCTCCACAAGCTGAACTGGCTCTGAGTTGTGCAGGTGCAATTCAAGGTGCTGTTTTGTTTTTTTTTAAATCTCCATGGGGGCAGGTTATTTGTGGTACTGCCTCTCTCTGATTCTTTTTACCAATCCAATCAGATCTGGCAGGAGAAGCATGCTGCAGGTCCCGTCAACTAAAGAATGTCATTTTGTAGGACTCAGAAAGTGGGCCTTTTCTGTCACAGTGCCTGCCCTTTGGAATACCATAATCCCCAAGATTAGATTGGTTCTGACCCTGGTGACCTTCTGAAAAGCCTTACAGACCTGGATGTTTTCCCAGGCACAGGGGCTCAAGAAGTTACATGGAACCTGTGGGGTATTCTTAGTTTATCAGATTTGTTTTTATCTCAAAGGTCATTATGGGTGTTTTTATTTATTGTTAGGTCCCCAGAGTCACTATGGTGAGATGGGCAGTCATATAAATCTAAATAAATAAATATAAAAAATACATAAATTAAAGCAACTTGTTCATGTTAAAACATAACAATAATCTGACAGAAAGCCTTTTAACACCTTTAAGTACAGTGTACTTCAGCTACATTTTAGAATTACAATTATTTGCAATACATGCACACACACAATGAAAAGACTTACTGGATAAGAAACTGGGACTTACTCGTGCTCACAGGAAGTCACTAAAATCAATGGAACCCAAATTAATCCCACTAATTTTAATGCAGGGATTGGGAACCTATGACCCAAAGGCAAGATGTGGCGTGCCACCCATAATCATCTGGTCCATGTTCCCAAAAAGAAATACATTTACTTGACCTTCAATAGAGAAGGAGGGAGTGCCTGCCATTTCCTTGGGTGGCCATTTTGGTGACAGCTTCACCAGCCCCCAAAGCACAGGAGGAGCAACAAGTGCCCAGGAAATGGTGGAGGCAGCATAGCCTCTGGCCCCAATGGAGTAGAAGGTTGCTGACCCGTTTTAACAGCTACAGTCAGGTCCAGAAATATTGGGACATCGACACAATTCTAACATCTTTGGCTCTATAGGTCCCTTAACAAGTGGGAGGCACATATGCAAACTGTTGTAATTCCTACACCGTTCACCTGAGTTGGATGGGTCCCTTAACAAGTGGGAGGCACATATGCAAACTGTTGTAATTCCTACACCGTTCACCTGAGTTGGATGGGTCCCTTAACAAGTGGGAGGCACATATGCAAACTGTTGTAATTCCTACACCGTTCACCTGAGTTGGATGGGTCCCTTAACAAGTGGGAGGCACATATGCAAACTGTTGTAATTCCTACACCGTTCACCTGAGTTGGATGGGTCCCTTAACAAGTGGGAGGCACATATGCAAACTGTTGTAATTCCTACACCGTTCACCTGAGTTGGATGGGTCCCTTAACAAGTGGGAGGCACATATGCAAACTGTTGTAATTCCTACACCGTTCACCTGAGTTGGATGGGTCCCTTAACAAGTGGGAGGCACATATGCAAACTGTTGTAATTCCTACACCGTTCACCTGAGTTGGATGGGTCCCTTAACAAGTGGGAGGCACATATGCAAACTGTTGTAATTCCTACACCGTTCACCTGAGTTGGATGGGTCCCTTAACAAGTGGGAGGCACATATGCAAACTGTTGTAATTCCTACACCGTTCACCTGAGTTGGATGCAAAGATGTTAGAATTGTGTCGATGTCCCAATATTTCTGGACCTGACTGTACATTCCAAATATTACTAATCTGGTATCTAGTTCAAAGCTGAATTTTTATGGACAATATTTCAAAATAATTATATTTAAATGTGAATATCTACATCACTTACCTTCTTCATCATAGTTTGACATATCATCTGCAATCATATTTCCAAAGTCTAAAAGAAGATTCCAAGTATCCTTAGGGATTGATCTTTTATGATGCTCCTATGCAAGGGAAAGAACCTGGTATAAATTGTTTTTAGATTTTGCCAGGTTTAGTAAAATCTTTACTGAGAAGATACTGAGTAAAATTATTAGATTAGGAGACTAAGTTTGAAATAAATCAAGATGTAGTAATTTTACAGATTACAGTAAAATTACAGTAAAACCTCAATTTTATGGACCGCAATCAAAAGAGTTTTGATGCAACAGACAAAATCCATTATTTTTTGACTTTACCCACAAATAATGGACAAAGTCTGTAGTTTTCAAAGCAGCCTGGACAACTGATGCAAATGATCTTAATTATGTAATTATGCAAATGACATAAATTGGTGCAAGAGTTGCTCTCAAATTGTGGTCAATTAGCTCTAATGGACATACTTTCCTCCCATATGGCCTGTTAAACTGCATTTATTATACTCCTATTCATAATTTGCACAAACACACTTGGAATAATCCAGTAGTGTACTTACCAATAAAAATTTATTCCAAAGATCTAAAAATTTAAATCTTCCTGATAACACTAAATTCCAATATGCAATTGCCATTTCTAGATCTGAAAGACATAAATGTAATTTATAATCTGTATAAGTTGTTATTACAATTTTCCACATCCCCACTTATGCAGAAATGTATGTATAAAAGAAAGTATGTGGTTTGATGTTATATATGGCAAGAAAATTCAGTAATTCTATTTATAGATTTTAAGTTACACTTTTAAAAAACACATAAACTTTGTGCCTATACAAATTCTATCCCATTTCAAGGTTTAAAAATAAATACTTACACAAAAGGCCTCTAAATACAGAATGGTCTAATTGAGTCTCAAGGCCTGACTTGTCCAACCTTGCTATACTTTAGACATGTGGTAATACAAAATGTTACTCTACCTTATTATTATGCTATGAGACTATAGCTCAAACAGTATTTTGAGCAGTATTTCACTTCATCCATGCAAATTACCAACCCTTTGGGTATAGCCGAAGAGTTGCTCTCAAGTTTTAAAGTTTAACGTGCAGAAAGGGAAATTATTAAATACATAGAAAATAACCATATTCATTTTAACTATCACAGAATATAATTTTTCTCTTGGCTTTGCTCATTTCTCAGAATGCACCCCCAACTATACTACGTAAGACCTGAAAAAGATTAAGAACTACATTCCCCCTGCTTTTTTTTTTTGCAGAATAGTCCAAAGCATGTTTACTCAGGGGAATGCAAATAAACTCAGAGTACACAGAGTTCTAGTCTTCTATTGGACTTTCTCACAAGTATTTATCAGAGCTTACTATTGATACAAGTGCATGCACTGCTCAGTTATTTTGAGCTATGTCTGCTCTAAACATACAAGTAGTTTCTGGGTTAAGAATGTGTGTGTTACAGACAATCCAGAACAGAGTTAAGAACAGTTAAGAACAGAGCCTATTGTAGCAAAATTTGATTTAAATACACAATGTTTGAGTTCATTACACAATACTACTTATACAGCATTATACAATAATACTGTTCCGGCTTTCATACAAATTTGACTTAAGGAACTTTAAGGAACCTTGGGAACGGAGCTCATTCTTAAACTGGGGACTACCTGTACTGAAATCTGGGGAGCGATTACCAAAACAGTTGCATATTTTTACAAATAGAGATAAGTTTTCTTTATTCTGCATGTATCCTCATGAATTAACCAGATCATTTTTTATTTTCCTCTTTATTATAATAATTTAAGGCAGATATTTTTATGCAAATGGATTTGGATCTGCCAATATAAATGAGGCAAATATTTTCATACTCTTATTTAGCTATGTTAATGTTTTCCCCAGGTGTATATAGAGTAGTATAGCTTACTTGACAATATATAATTTTTTTTAATTTTAATTTTTATTAAAGATTTTAAATCCAATAGTAAAAGCAAATACAAATTAAACTTAGTAAAAGAAAAAGAGAAAGAATAAAAAGTGCAAAAAAAGAAATAGAAAAAATGCATGTTCAGTGTAGAATCGAAATATTTCCTTCTCAAGATAGTACGTACTATCTTCCTAACAGTTCTACTGCATGACATTCACAACTCTTACATATATGTCTCTAAAAGATAAGGCTAGCATTCCTTTGGTGTGTGAGATTATTTTAGAAGAGGATCTGAGTTCTGAAAGTTAGCTCAAAATCCTGTCATAGTTACTGCTCCTTATACCATATGTTTGTACAATGCCAAATAAAAACAAAATTCAAAACCAGATTAGCTTCATTCATGTGCAGTCCCAGTGGACTCCAACTCTGCTTAATCTACGATTTATTATTTATTTCTTACATTTATATGCTGTCTACCTCCCCTGGAGGGTGACTCTGGGTGGCTCACAATTAAAATCAAACATTAAAAACAGTAAAAATATAAATATCCATATTAAATTAACTAAAAAAATACTATATAAAAATTATATATTTCTTTTATCAAGTATAATAATATAAATGAACTAGAACACAAGTGCCTTAACACAGGACTGCACAATTTAAGGTCCTGAAAACCTCTGAAACTTTTAATTCTTAAATGTGCAAAGAAAAGGTAAAAATTAAAATTTTCCAACCCCAACTTAAAGCTCAGGTATGGCCTCTGGCCCATAAAAGCTATGCATCCTTGCCTTAGCCAAAAGGACCAATGAATCAAAAACTGAAGCAAATGTTTTTCTCTAGGAAAAACTGTGGGAGAGAGAAAGAAAAGCCACCAGAAACTGCTGAAATGTACACATTTATCCTATAAGATGCAGCAACTTAAATATACACACAACAAATTGCTCCTATGTGCTAATTTAGGAGCAGAGGCCAGGAAGAGAATACTGTAAAAGAAGCAAGTCCTGGAACAAACAAATCAGAAAAGTTCATAAGTTTTGATTAATACATATCCTAAATTCTATTTGAGAGAATTACCAAAAGCTGTCTATATAAAATATTATTTTTAATGGAAAAAATTATTTAGACTTTCCTCTCTAAAAGATAACAAATTACTCAGCAATGTTGGTATGTTTCAGATTTGTCTATAAATATACTATATTGTTTCAGTTTCTAAGCTTACGAACAACAACCAAAATAATTAATTTGTAACTGAATTTATGAAAGTTGCTGTCCATTTTTTAAGACAAACCACACAGATTAATTTTGTTTGTTTCTGCTGAGTTCCATGAAACCCCCTTCCAGGTAAACGTATTTGGAATTGCAGTTAAAGTCACTTAACAAAATACTTATTTCATTTCTGCTTTCACTTATTTTAATTAAAAAAATCCTTAATGTAAATTAATAAGCATTATAAATACATTTTAATTGCTAAATTGCTTGATACAAACTTTGTTTGCTAAATAATAATAGCAAAGTATCTGAGATTAAGAGTTTTTTCTCAACTGCATACAGCACTGATCTGGCCCTACGCAGCTTTTGGCTATTATCTGTCCTTCTATGTAACTCCATTATGCTGCCCACAGAACAGATTTTAAAACCTATTGTTGTAAAGATAACGGCTAAAATATTGATGTTACTATTAAGAAGGAACTGTAATGTACTATCCTATTATCAAGGTATTATTTTGTCATATTTTTCAAATAATAATATAATTCGCATTTGTTATTCAAAACATGCAAGCTAAACCCCTCACTCAGCCATGGATTACAATAATCTTGTTTTTGCCTAAAAAATCTACGAGAGTCTCAGTAAGCTTTCATTTTGTTAAATCTTATTATAAAACCTCTGATTATTGAAAACACAGTAACTTAAAAAAAAAAACTCACCTAAACCTTTTTGCCCAGGGTTTTTAGCAAAGTTAAAAGTAAACTGATAAAAATCTTTAAACTTCATTGGATCCTTTAATTCTTGTTCCAGTCTTGGTAAAAGAGTTTTTAGCTTGTCTGTCGTATCACACCTGGTAAAAAGATACTTATTCAGTGTCAATTATAAAGTTTTAGAATTATAAAATATAAATATTTAAAAAATAAACATAAAAGTTATAAAACATTTTTTTTAAAATTAGGAAATTTCCATATACAGGAAATAGTTCTAAAACTAATTCAGTTGATGTTAATATAACAAACATATATTATTCCATAATATTTCATTCAACTGGTACTGCAGAAATACATAAAATAAATACATACTCATTTTGTATTACATATATAGCCATTTTTCAAACAACAGGCAGCTATAATCAATACAATAAAATAAAGGCCATTTACCCTAACCCCAGTGAAAATATGGTGTAAGGGCATTTATATGATCAGGCCAATAAATAGGATAAGGTAATATCCTGAGCTGATCTGTTTCCCTACAAACATCTCTATTTCCATGTTAACATTTTCAAGCATTTATGTAATTTAATCTAACTATCATTTTACGTTATTTTTCTGTCAATAGATACATAAAGTAGATTTCAAAAATGAAAATAATAATTGGCTGCTGTGGGTCTTCCGGGCTGTGTGGCCGTGTT